TCTTGGGACCGTTATCGGACTGATGGTGATCCTCAGATAGCCGATGGCTAGGTCGACTTCAGAGATGTCGACTTAATCATGTCGTCAGCAGTATTTGTCTAGTCGAGTAATTAGCATTTGAAGCGGACTATGATAATAGGGCTATATCATATGGTAAGTGTGTAATATTGTAGTTAGACTATATTGTGTATTGTGGATAATATTTTAATTTCATAGTTGTAGACTTAATATTTTTCTTACATGGTGCACAGTCCATTTAATTTATTGACATTTGGCAAAAATTTATTGTACAACAACATTAATACATTAAAGATGCTCTTAGTTTGATAATAATGAATCTTGTAAATGTGATATGTTAGCAATGTCGTGCATGTTGACAACCGTATCCAAATCAAGATTATTCAAATGCATAATATGATTGTGATAATAAAATAAGGAATACCGGGATCCTTTAACATTTATTTATAATAATTCTCTTTCCGATGTGGTTTTGAATAGTTTACGTGTGTTCCTTTAAAATCATGTAACAAACTTGCAAAATATTTTGTTGAACTAACTGGATCCGATATATATTACCACATATAAAAAATACTAGTACAGAGCCCGTGCGATGCACGGGGTGCACAATTTTAAGGTCATTTATCCAACCTTGGAATTATATAAATGAATAAAGAAAAATGTACGGGATATATATAGTATGTGACCTGTGCGAGGCACGGGATATATTTATTTGGGGATTACTATGCTATAAGATGCAATATTCAATAAAAGTTTTGCAATACACGAATAAATAAGCCAAATTGCAAATCTGAAAATATAATAAAAAAATTGAAAATATATTTCACTAAACATGTACAAAAATATCTACATACATACACGAAAATAAAATAAATTAAAATATACGTATCAAATTTCGAAATTAAAAGAAAAATTCAAATAATTTGGCTTACAGTTTTATCATGCAGAACCAACTCGATATATTATTTGTATGTGCTGCCCAGTCTTGGAAACACATTCTCACAATTCGAACTTTGAGCATATGGCTATTAGACCTATTGACTTGTTTGATTAACCCAAATCATTGATTCATTGTTTTGAATAAAAGACTGATTGAGGAAATTTTTTGTTCGCGTGAGGTTGACAGTGAGAAAGATGATGGCTCGGTATTTTGAGATTTGTAATTTATAATAGGTATAGTAGATTTATATTCCTGTTAATAATTTTATTAGAAAAATTGAATTTGAATATACAGAAATCGGTTTGAACAAAATCAAAACATATTTTCATGCAATTAGATAATAAATAAAGCTTTTTTTATTTTAGTAAAAATTTTACGTATTTTTTTTACTTATCTGATGTTATGGGTTTTTTTTTGTTAAACCGATTTTATGGGATATAATACAAATATAATTAGAGGATTGAACAAAATCAGAACAGATTTCCATACCATTAGATAATAAGAAGGAATTAGATAAGGAAAAGAAGGAATTAAATAAGGAATTTTGAATCTGCCTTTTTTTAGTATAGATAGACTTTACGTACAAATTTTGACTTTACCGATTTTGTGGGATTTGTTTTTACAAAATCGATGTTAATATGGAATAAGACAAATAAATAAAGCTTTTTTTATCTAGGTAAAGAATTTACGTCCTTTTTTTACTTGTCAGATGTTATGAGATTTTTTTTTCTTGAACTGATTTTATGGGATATAAGACAAATAAATAAAATAATTAAATAAAATTCTGGATAGAAATAGCAATACATTAATTACGTTGACTTTTCAGCCCACTAAATTTGGTAAATATGATACCTTATTATATAAGTATAGATTATTAGTGATATATCGCAATACTTGTTTTGATTTAAATTAAACGTGTATCTATCCTGTATATAAGGAAACAATATCACTGATTGTTAGATTTATATGCATCTTTCATTATTTGATTTTATAATTTGTTAAATTTATTAATCTTTAGAATCTCTAAATTTGTTACCTTGTGAATCTCCAATTTCCGTGGTATATCTCATTAAATTTGAATCCTAAAGAAAAAAGTGTTTTAATCAAATAATTCATATATTTGTTTGTCTCATTTTTGTTGCATTTTTCGTGTTTATTTTATCTTTCTTTTTCTCCCGTTTTAGGTCTTTTCTTTAGTTTTTAGTCCGTTTTGTGTTTAATTATGTGTTTTTCTTCATTTTTAGTCTTTTGGTATCTTTAGTTTTCATAAAAAAAAGCATAAAAATGAAAAGCAATAAAAGCATAAACAAAAAAGATGCCAGGCCCAACTCAAAAACCCTAGTAGGAAAAGAAAAATGAAATAAATAAAAAACAGGAACATGAATGGAATTGGGTTGTGCAACAACTCAAGAAAACAGAATTTTGGAAGTTGTCACTTGCATCTCTGCAAGTTCTCAGGCGCAATGATATTAGTTAGTCAATAAGGAAAAGGATTAGAGACACACAAGACAGTCTCACTTGCATCTAATGACCATCCTTGGACTGGACGACTAACTCAATATCTTTAATTGGCGCCTTAAAGTCTGTATTCACACATGAGCTTACACTCCATAAAAATGCAAATAAGCAAACAGTGTGCTCGTAATTCACATAACTCATCGATATTACCCGAACCAACAGCCAATGTAGGCTGAGCCAAAAGTAAGGCACCCGCACTTGAAGATCCACAGTAGCTCAGAGAGCTGAAACTCATAATGTAGGCTAAATTCAACACATGAAAAACTGAATCAAGCGAGAAATCAAAATGCGATAGCAAAATAAAAAAAAAACTATAGATTATCTACCATGGTTACGTACCTTAAGGGTGCAAATTTTGCAACGGGGTAAAGGCTCATGCAAAGTAAACTACTGTGCGCTCGAACACTGCTCTGGAGGCTACCGACGGCGACCTGATGTGGACTGATTCTTAATTCAGGCGCAAAACTTTTAGATAAGTCGTACTTATGTCGAGCTTATACTCCGCCCACTTGCGTTTAGATGGAGAGTCTACAACCATGATCCCCATAAGACCCATACCAGATCGATAAAAATAGAAAAAAGTACAGATATATTGGTTCAATTAAACAAAAATTAGATATAACTAAATTAATACGGTCAGTGAGCTTACCAGCCACTGACAGTCTCTACCTGCGGGTTGTTGCCAACTGCGAGATATGGACGTCGCGCGCAGCGCCGACACGCTCATCGCCGAAGTTGCTAGTTGCTCTTTGTAGCTGGGCCGCCATAGATTGGAGTTGTAAGAGTCAGCCGTACGGAGTTTTGGTCAGCCATCCATCAGCCGTTGTGTATTGAAATATGGTGGAAAAATTGGGGTAAATCAGTTGGGAGAAAAAAAAAAAGATGAAAGAAGAAAAGAGAGATTGAAGACAAATTTGAGGGGAGAAGAGAATACCATGAGTTAGGGTTCAAGGACAATGAACACGATCTGGGGTAGGGTTACTATTCCTTTGCCTGTGATCCTTGTTTTTTCGATCGGCTTGTCTTTCTCATTTTAGCCTTATTTCTCTCTCTCTCTCTACCATCATTTTCGGCGTGCTTCTGGAGGTAGAGCTTTACAGCTAATGGCGTGTGGCGAAAGATGACGCCTCATACTTGCTGCCGGAGGAACCGACGGCTAATTGGGCTATTTTTATTTGAGATCTTTTAAAAATTCACCGATGATTTCAGAGAACACATATAAATTTTTTAGACGAACCGGGTAAAAATGAGTAGAATTTTGATTGGGTTGTGTGTTTTAACAAAAGAGAGGGGAGGGTTGAAAAGGTCAAAATGAGTACGGAAAAGTTGTATTTTGGGTTGCTTTTTTTACTCTGATCGTCGTGAAAGACAAAAAACCAGGAATGTTGCGTGTTTAATTTCCGTGGCTTGCTGCACAATTAAAAAAAAAATAGGGGTATTTCAGTGACTTCAAAACATGTCATGTGCAACTATACAAACTTCTCAACACGTGTCGTGATATGAAGACCATAAAAATTGACACATGTCACCATTTGAAGTTCTCTAACTTCTTCATATATATATATATATACGAGAGCATCCTCCTCCCGGAGGCCCCGTCGCTACCGTCGTCCCGTCGGCGATCTCCAGCGAGGTCGACGCCATCTCGTCGTCGTTCCCTTCCCGCTTGCTTCTCTTCTCACTCAGGCTAGACAACGTGTTATTCGAATACGCCGCCGCCATGACACTCCGACCGCGTCCCTGGGGCGGCGCATCTGCAGTGAGCCCGCGTCGCCGGTGCCAGATGTGATGGGTACCTCCCGCCTTGCGATTAGGGTTTTTTTAGGTGAAATCTTGTGTATAAAAAAAAATATATTTATATCTTCTGTCTTGGAAAAGTGAGGATTTCCTATTGATCCCTTTCCTGCCTCAAAAGAAAGGAAACAATAATAAAATTATTTTTTAATATTAATTAGAAATATAAAATTATTTATCATTTAATATATTTATATATCAAGTAGTTATATGATATAAATTATAAAAATTACTATAATATAACACGTGTAAGTCAAACAAGTAACAAATGTCATTCTAAAATATATAATAATGTAGTTTTTTTTGTAAAAGAGTAAATAAAATTTAAAATAATTTTTATTTTTAAGTTTAAAATTTAAAAATAATTTTTTAACAAGCACTCGTGTAATACACGGGTGTGGTAATAATGTGATTTATTTCTATAGACTATAATATACAAGTATATATTAAAAAATTGCTTAATGAATTAAATATGGTCATTACTACTCACACGTTTTAAGCTTGTCCTCCAACTTGTGGCATGTAGCTTTCATTTCGAACTTAGAATCCCATACTTTCTAACAACCTTCTACCTCTAGAACACGCGTGCTTCAGATGACTTGCTTTTTCTCCACTTTATTTTATAATATCTTGTTAGCTTGCAATATAATTTGTACTATAAATGGCTTGTCGAATTATGTACATGAAATAAACTAAATCTTTTATCTAGATCATAGTTTTGTAAAGAAGCATGGATTCAACTATAGTTGATGTGAACCGCAAAGTATGTGTGACAGGTGCAGCTGGTTTTCTGGCCTCATGGTTGATCAAACGTCTTCTTTTATCTGGGTATTATGTCATTGGGACAGTTAGAGATCCAAATGACGACAAAAGAGTTGGACATTTATTGAAGTTGGAAGGAGCAAAAGAGAGACTAAAACTAACGAGTGGTGATCTTATGGTGGAGGGTAGCTTCGACAATGCAATTATGGGTTGTTGTGGAGTTTTTCACACTGCCTCACCTGTGCTAGGGTTACCTACTTCTGATCCCAAGGCATGTATACAATCTATTTATATTAATATTGCATATTTACAAGTTATTCTATTTTTTTTTTTTTAAAAAAAATGTATTGTTTTTCTTAATTAAATGGAGTTTATACAGGCTGAAATACTACAACCAGCAATTGATGGAACACTTAATGTGTTGCGTTCGTGCAAAAAGAATCCATTTTTGAGGCGTGTGGTTCTTACCTCGTCTTCTTTGACAATAAGGGTTAAGGATGATTTTGACCCTTCTATTCCACTAGACGAGTTTTCATGGAGCTCCGAGGAATTGTGTGAGAGACTTCAGGTATACATATTTACCAATACTCCTATAATTAGATTACTAATCATATTTTCATGGGGAAATACATGTAAACAAATTTAATTTTGTTCTTTCTTCTATGTAATAAAGGCTTTTCTGATACTGCTAATTAAACATTCATGTTTGTTAGATTTGGTATGTATTGTCCAAAACTCTAGCTGAACAGGCAGCATGGAAATTCTGTAAAGAAAATAAAATTGACCTTGTGACCATCCTCCCTTCATTTGTGATTGGGCCAAGTCTGCCGCCTGTTTTGTGTTCTACTGCATCTGATGTACTTGGCTTACTCAAAGGTGAAAAATAAGTATTCTACTGATTTCCATATAAAAGTTCATACATATAATAAATATCATGACCTTCTTCATTTCTTTCTTTCCTTCCTTATTTCTTGTCTTATATATCGTTTTCTACATGAATATCTCACATTGTTTTAATTTCGTATGATTGTGCAATATAGTGATAAATTGAATATATACACATACCTTTGCGTAGGAGAGACGAAAAAGTTCGAATGGCATGGGAGAATGGGTTATGTTCATATTGATGATGTTGCAGTAAGCCACATTATGTTGTATGAGAATGAAAATGCAAATGGACGTTATCTCTGCAGCTCAATTGTTCTTGACAATGACAAACTTTCCTTAATTCTATCAACACGTTATCCTACATTGCCAATTCCAAAAAGGTTTTATTCTCTAGATCAACTTTAGCTCTGTTTTATTCATTACTGAAGGCTAATATGACTTTAAATAACTATCAATTAACTTTTTATGTAAGAAAATAAAGTTATGTATCATCATTTTTTCCTGCAAACAGGTTTCAGAAACTCAACAGGCCGTATTATGAATTGGATGTCTCCAAACTAAAGGGATTAGGAATGAAATTCAAATCAATTGAAGAGATGTTTGACGACACTATTGAATCTTTAACCAAACAAGGTCACCTGCGATTTGTTGTTGACTAGTTTGCTAAAATAACCGCACTTGGGACAACAACTTTGTTTTGTATTTTGATTGTCTTATATGTAGAACTTGATGGTTATATGAATAAATAAGTTAGAAGAGATTACATTAGCACTACCACATAAAAGAAGAAGAACAATTCACACAAGAGACATTTTATTGGATTATGAATTAACATGTAGTAACAAATTTGAATGAGCGAACCAGCTAATGAAAGATTTTTATGTAAGAAAGTTATCGTAGGTTATATAAATATATATTCTTTTGTTGTGAATCTTGATATTATAATATAATATGACATTTATTAAACTCAAAATGTATCATTGAAAATACCATCATTTTAAATTCTTAACAAGAACAAGTACATAAACCAACATTATTTAATGCCTACGCTATACAACTTTTGCCAATCACGTAGCTCCAACTTATATACTCAAGTTATTGTTTTTCAAAGACAACCGTTTAACTACAATGTAAATTTTAAATTGTTTTTTAGATGTGCTTGATTGTGAATGCCACTGTAAAAAGTAAATATTTATGTCGTAGAATGAACTGTAACGACATCAAAATTAAAATATTTATTGTTAAAGCTTTGCAAATATACAGACATAGTCAATATATGTGTACCTTCCATGAGAAAATTGTTCTAGTGGCACGTCAACTATCCAATAGGTTGCTCTACATCACTCGCAATTTCACTTAAATGTGAATCCAAACTCACAAAAAGTCTAATCAAGTTGACTACTAATTAAAAATAAAATACTACTTTGGATTTTCATAAAATACACCTTGCTAAAATCTAAGCTTTGTGAATTAACATTTCAAATTTTTATGACAAAACTAAAATTAAAATAGTTTGAGATAATGTTTTTCTATCTGGACTGAACTAAAGCCAAATCCGAGCTAGTTCATGTATTTTTTTCTTTGTATAATTTTTTAACAACTACTATATATGTTTATGTGGTAATATTTATATTGATAAACTAGAGCGTGACCTGTGCGATCACGAGCTATTTTTATTTGTGAAATATTATTTTATAAGATGCATAATTAATTAAAAAATTTATAACGAGAAAATAACAATCATATACACAACATTAGTAGTTTAATTATTGGGCAACTCTTTATTTTCACATACTAATATTTCCAATCCCTTTATATTCGTTACACGCGAAACAAGAGCATATAAATTTACACGTTTGAAATTCAAAATATAAATTTTGAAATTTTTAACCTGAAACGAATTTGTATTTATTTCAAATACCTAATCCATTCAGAATATCTTACATAATTGGTATATACCAAGAGCTTTATTAATTTAAAATTGTAGAATATATATATATATATATATATATATATATATATATATAAAGAATAACCCAAAAGAGTTATGCGCCTTGCAAATAGTATGGAGGATTAAACACAACATAATTTTGTAGGATGTAATAAATGTTAATTTATTTTACATTTTATATTTTACGTGTTGCAATTCGATTTTATTTTGAATTGCAATTAATTTAAAATTGTAAAAAAACCTTCATGAATTATTTGATTTATCCTTTTCGGTCTCTCATATGTGTATCCAATCAATTTCAAAATTGTATGTTTGAATATTAAACAAACCCCAATTTTTTAAGATACTTTAAATATATCTTTATTAATTTAAAATTTAAAAATAAAAAAGAATAATCTGAAAGAGTTATATGCCTTGCAAATTGTATGGAGGATTAAACAAAACCTTCATTTTGAATTTCAAAATAGTGTATACCCAACATTTGAGGAATAAATTAAATACTTATTCGAATTTTATACCTAAAATATATAGGACGCATTAAATGTATATTCGGTTTTATGTTTAAAAAATTCTCAAATTAATATTGTATGTTTTTATTTAAAAAAAAATCCTAAAATTGTATGCAATAAATGTTTGCCCAAATTTTTGGGTTACTATTTTTGATAAATAGGTTTTCTCTCTTACTCCACTCTATATATATATAATATTGATATAAATATTTATGAAATTAGTATTTAGCCAAATAAATAATTATAAATCTTTTAAAAGTGAGGAATCCACCATTTCAAGTTAATCAAAATACATAAAGAAAATTGTATAACATAAGAAAAATACCAACAAAAATGGTTCAATTGAAAAGTTTTATTATCATTTACAAAAATTATTTCATAATTAAACAAATAATATTAAAGTAATTAGAAAATAAATTGACTCAAATAATTGAACCTATTCATATAATATATTTCTAAAATAAAACTAGTTTTTTTTTCTTCTCCCGAAACGACATAGATTTTTACAGATCAAAACGCACAAATGTGCAAATTACAACTTAGAGCCGCAGCCAAAAGCTGAATAAACTGGGAGGACTGGTCCGAAGACCGCCTAAATCCGACGCTAGCAACGCTAAATCCCAAAACAAAACACAAACTAAAACTACCAGAATAACTACGAAGCTCCCAACAGGAGAATCTACTAGCTCCCAACAGGAGAATCATCACTGAGGCCAACGGCCCAAACCAAAAACACGAGACCTAACGAAACAAACAAACAAAAGAACATAACAGAAATATGAAACTACCAAACAAACAAAACACAATAAAAAAATAAACGAGCCCTTCCAAAGAAGCTACACCAAACCTAACCAGCAGAAACGAAGCACCTGTGAATCCCGCAGCCATAAAAACTGACCCCGAAATTGTCCAAACCACTTGGTTGCCTAACGGTGCCGAAACCCTAATCCCGGAATAGCACCAAGCCACCTCACTCCACGACACCACACTAGAATGCCCCGGATGGACAAAAAGGTTCCGCGACTGCAGCACCCAACCCCGAACCGATTGGAATCTGCCCAAGGCCACCGCACCTTCGCATCGCCACTACAGCCAACACCACTGGCAGAAGAGAGAACACGATGACCCCTGCAACTCGACGCCGAGAACAATGGGAGACGACCTTGAACATCAATGACGCCCCAATTACCTGACCAAGAAAGAGGCCGAGCAATTGAGACGCGTCGACGCTGGAAAAGGCGACGAACAGTCGCACGGGGCGAAGCCCGGCTCCATGGAATGTGGAAAAAGAGCGGAAAAAATTAGGGGCAGAAACCAAAAGGCCAAGGTCCGGAGACCGCCGGCTAAGCCCGATGGCGACTATGGAAGGCTGGCGGTGGCGAAGAAGCGATGAGAAGAAGCGAGAGAGTTTGGGGATTTTGGGGTTATGTTTCGGCGGAGAAGAAGCGATATCGAACACCTTACACGCATAAAATAAAACTAGTTATCAATTTATTTTATGAACTCAAGAAAATTATAGTTAATGGATCCTTTAGAATTTATGTTTATTTTAAAATAATTAAGAAAATAAAGAAATAACTCATTTAAAAAAAAATTCAACCTAATAAGTAAACTTATTCCTACACATAAACGTACACAACCTCGAGAGAAGACATAAAAAATTTACCGATAAAGGAATTCAGATTTTAATCGTGTTTTTTTTTTCTCCTGTGTTGATTTCTTTACAAATCCGGGTCCCATGAACAACAACCCAATCTTAAGTCTCGAATCCATCTCACTACGCCAAAAAAGCTTCAGATGGCGCTTTTTTTTGCGTCAGATAACTGATAAGTCGTATTCTTGGCATGTTAATTGTCATGTTTTCCATGGTTTTTTTGTGTTTATTTGAGCTTAATTATTGATTTTAATTGATTTCTACAATTTTTGTAGGATATCTCAGAATTTGGAATTTTATGATGATTGGAGGGCGAAAGAGACGAATTTGAGCTAAGGCGTGGGCACGCTAATTTCCTACAAGAGTTGGAAGAAGGAAGGAGTCTCAAGTTGGAAAAAAACTAATAAAACTTTTTAGGAGTATTTATTTATTTATGGACTATTATTATTTTATTAGGATATTTTGGAGAGAGAATGATCTCTCTCTTATTTTCTACGTATTTTCTTTTAGGATTATAATTAGACTATTTTATACAAAACAGACTGCTAGGTATTATTTTTCTCGCTCTCTCCCTCACGCTACACTCCCCTCTCTTCTTCTCTTTTCTTCTTTTCTTTTATTTTTCATGAATAATTGGGAGACTTCTCACATGTTTACGGATAATTAAATTATTTTTCCAGCCAAATGATTATTCTAGATTTGGTTCTTCATGATTTGTGAGATCTAATTGAATTTCTATTCCCTATTCTCTTTTATTTATATATCTCTTGTGATCATTACCAATTGTGTTTTGATTTGTTGATGCAAACTGGCCATTTGTTTGATTGTTGAAACGCATATCGATATTTAGGACGGTTCAATCCGTAATTGTTTGATTGTTCTAATATTGGTGGCAAATAGCATAGTTGATTACTAAAGGTTTTCGATTGTATGCTTGAGGAGATATATGATCTAGTCTAAATGATCCTACATGTGCGTTTGTTGGCTAGAATGGTGGTCCTTCTAGATCTTATTGCTGTTGATAGATTAAATCATATGATCGTATCTAGGGTTGTCTGTTGATTAGAGAAATAATTGAAGATCGTATCTTGAATATTATCGAACAAGTAAGGAAGGATAGGTTGTTAGGTTGTACCAATAACCATAACCAGTTTAATAGAGAATAGGAGAAATATCTTTGTATCTATGATCGAATCGTTGAACCATCTCTACGAGTTTTTCCTTTGGTTGGATATATTCTTTATTTCTAGTCACTCATTTTGTTCTCGTATCTAGCTAGATTTTATTTTATTTTCTTAGTTAGATAAAATCATAAAAAACCCCCCATCGTTTTTATTTTTATTTCTTTGACGAATAGTTGCATCAATACTTTGTCTAGTCAATCCTAGTGGATACGACCCTGCTTACCACTACTACAGTTATTTTAAAAAAGCAGAAATTTATTATTGTTGGTTTCGACAACCATCAATAATGCTTTTAAGCGTTATCGGAATCAGTGTTATCTGAAGATCGATTCTTCATATAACGCTTAAAAAGCGTTATGTG